AACCCTAAGCTAACAGTACAGTGAGAGGTAGGCACTGGCCGGACCAATCAAAGGCCTCCCTCTCATCATATGACCCTGCTCTTGTACGCCTGGGTATGGATCGGGAGAATGATAGCATGGCGAAAGGTGTAGGCATGATTGGTTCAGCGAGCACGTGTACCATCCACCGCATTGTCAGCTTATGGGTGAATTGAGCATAGAAGTAACACCCTCGCCGATCCAATCAACCGTCTGTTTTTTATCACAGACTAGGCTCTCTGCTCGCTGGTAAGGGCAGGAGCATGATCACGCGCTAAAGGTGAAAGATGACGCAATAGCAGCTCCCTGAATGTCCGCTTGCTGACCTAGTTTTGTATTCGTCGGAGCTGCCGTGGGTATCGGTGGTGAGTGGGGTGCTCCAGGCGGCAACGTGTTCGGAGTATACCGAAGCCATCAGTGTTCAAAATGTCCAACGCGTACTGGCGGCGCGCGCAAACTACAGGGGGTGCTTCTCTACTTATAATTATCGTCGTTTGTAACGTCACGGGTAGGACAGACTGGGACAGACCGCGCCGATATTGGATATCTCGGATCGTCAACTCGCTTATTGAGCTGTTTGAATAACGCACAGCAAAGCCAGTTTTACGCGCTGTCTTTGTTTGGTGAAGTAATATTTGTAGTAGGATATTTTGCGAAATCTTGAAACCCCGTTGCCGTGCTAACAAACCCATTTGGCGCTAAGGTTTCGAAGCGCTGGGATGGTGGTGTGCTGTTTTCTATCCCAGTTCAATAAACTGGAGAATGAAAATGAAATATCCAGCGCTTTACCCCACCGAAATATATACCACGACGGAAATGTCGCATTTTTTAAAATTATGATTCAGACAAAATAAAAATGACAAATTAATGCTGCATGAAATCGGAAATAGGAAAGCGAAATTTCAAAACATTTCGCGTCTGTAGTAAGAACTTCAGTGGAAGCGGCTCAGTGTATCCTGTTGGTTCAGATGTATTCTGTGAGTGCTGCTATCTTATTTGTTCCAAAAGAGTTCATCTTTTTAATTCTGTAAACCAGTAAAAATATTTTCTCAAAATAACCAGAAGGAAGAAGCGGTGGCCGGCTTCCGGAGCCGTTTAAGTTAAATCCCCAGCTTATTATCCCGGTCGACGCGAAACGTGCGAGAGTCCCTCGTGATCAAAGCCTGAAATCTCGTAAGTTGGGGACACATCAGAATCAGAAAAACGAATATACACCTGCAATGATTTACTGCCGTTTTTATGTTTACTTTTGTGGACCCAAATGAATTTAATGCTTGATGGGGTTGTCAGCGAGTGATTTCAATTTTGTAAACATTCCTATTAAATATTAGATAAAAGAAACTAATGAATCGCCTGAATTCGTGGGGCTGTTTCCTACAATTTAAGAATTTATGAAACTTCAACTTTTTTTTTCGCGCCATATTCGCGATGTGACAAACCTGTTTGCCACGCATTCGATGCAGGAGGAGCTACGCGTACGTTTCTGAAGAGCATTTGCTCGTATGCAACTGTCGAGTCACTTGGGTAGAAGTGTCGGTATCGACAATCTCAACGTAGCTAAAATAAGTGTACGACCCTTTGCAGCACAACTGTCCGGGCGTGCGCAGCTAAGAAGACAACACGTCATTTACTTTTATCAATGCAAAACCTTTTCCTACAGCAGCCACCAAAGATCCGGAAATTAAGTATCAAACGGCTGTGAATATCCCTGACGCAAGCTGCGGATTTTAAGGTATTTTTTTTTAAATATTAACAGCGACTTCGAGGGCTAGTTATTAATTTTCAGATCACTCACAAAAACGTCATGCTAGTTTTTTTATTTAAAAAAACAAAGTTTTAATCGGCATAGATGCGAGCTGACATAGCCACTCCGTGCTCTGACATCACGCGTCGTCTGCTCGCATCCTACCAGCTCCGCACAGGAGGGCGGCTGCGAGTTGGTGACACCTAAACATCTCGTCGCCAATATTGGCTAATGATCGTTTGGCAAAAGACAACTTGTGACAAAAGATTCTTAATATTCGTAGAGCCGTTCTTGGTTTTGTGTGGTTGTGGATTGCCCATGTCAGCGTATATCTTGGGTTCATCTTTGAAGTTCGCCATTTTCATCGTAATTACACTGTGATCTGCTTCCTGGTGGCGACTGACCGTACTTCTCAGGGTACTCTTCCGGAGTACCTCTAAAATGCCCCCGGTTGTCTGTTTTTTTACAATCTTTTCAGCTGTATAACATATCAGGAGTATATCTTGGCGTTTCGCATATCGTTTTCATCTTTGGGATTGTATGGATAATAAACTTCCAGCAGATTCGAAAACAATCCCTTCTGCCTGTTTTTCTGCCTATTTTCAATCCCCTGGACTAGCACATTTACGGAAGGATTTTATTTTAAATGAAATAGTTTTATCAAGAGTGAGACTTCTTATATAATTTTGAGATGCCCAACCTCAATTTTTTTGAAGATGAAAGAGAGTCGTATTTATTTATTAGGACGTACACAAACAACAAATATTCTAAATTAAAACGTAAGCAGCGTGTTGTTAGAGACTTATAAAAAACAAAGAAAGAATACATATTTCATACGACTGCGGTGAATAGAACGGCCGTAAGTGGGCCGTCCTACTTATTGGTAGTAAATCTAGTGAGTCCTATAGGAGAGTTGTCTCACTCCGTCAACTATGGAATCTGGTGGGTCTGGTGGGTCTAGTAAGACGGCAGTCACTTGATTCTACCGGAGAAAATCAAGTGACTCTCGTAGGGAGTTCACAAAATCCTTGCAGTGAGTCCTTTTGGGGAGTCCTCTGACTCCATCGAATATGGAATCTGGTAACTCCTGTTAGGGTCGCGTGAGTCTAGTAAAACGGGAGTCAACTGATTCTATTTGAGACAGTCCGCGGACCTCTGTGAAATGTGTGAAACGCCTGACTGCAGGATTGAAGGGAGTCACCTGACGCCACTCGATGATAGAATCACCAAATTTTATCGAGTTAAGAGTCCACTAATGTCATTGATAACCTACTACAGCAATTTGACTATTTTAGAGGTATCACCAGAGCGATACTGTGAACTCTGAAAAAAGGATTAAGCGTTGGATCCTTTTCTGAGAGTGTGGTCGAAGCCTCGTAGCCTGAGGCATTGAATGTCTGTTATGCCTTGTAGTATTTTACGACCATAAATCGGCACCGTTCTGATCCAGATACAAATCACTAAGGCAAGGCGAGCTTTCACAATTTGTTCTGTAAGCAGGGGTGCGGTAAAAGTCTGAGACAACATCAAACGATTGTGTATTTCCGTGTCTTTTTTAGAGCGCAGCTCTTAGGGGCCCGTTTCCGGCTTGAGCGGCGTCGCCGTCGGCGTCGGCGTCGCCGTCGGCGTCGGCGTCGCCGTCGGCGTCGGCGTCGCCGTCGCCGTCGGCGTCGGCGTAGGCGTCGGCGTAACCGCGCGGTGCATCATGGGAAATGTCCCATAATGCACCGCGCGAGCCCCCCACCAAGGTCACGTGACCTCGTGGGGGGTCACGTGACCCCCCGAAGTCACGTGACTCCCCTGAGGTCACGTGGCCCCCTCCTCGAGGTCACGTGACCCCCGCCGATGTCGCGTGACCCCCCGATGACGTCATCGTCACTGATGACGTCACCGGCATCCACATCGTCATCGTCATCATCACTGATGACGTCACCGGCATCCACATCGTCATCGTCATCATCACTGATGACGTCACCGGCATCCACATCGTCATCGTCATCACTGATGACGTCACCGGCATCCGCATCGTCATCGTCATCATCACTGATGACGTCACCAGCATCCACATCGTCATCGTCATCATCACTGATGACGTCACCGGCATCCACATCGTCATCGTGATCATCACTGATGACGTCACCGGCATCCGCATCGTCATCGTCATCATCACTGATGACGTCACCGGCATCCACATCGTCATCGTCATCATCACTGATGACGTCACCGGCATCCACATCGTCATCGTCATCATCACTGATGACGTCACCGGCATCCACATCGTCATCGTCATCATCACTGATGACGTCACCGACATCCGCATTGTCATCGTCATCATCACTGATGACGTCATCAGTGACGTCACTGATGTCGTCACCGGCATCCGCATCGTCATCGTCATCATCAATGATGACGTCATCAGCGACGTCACTGATGACGTCACCGACATTCGCATCGTCATCGTCATCATCACTGGTGAAGTCATCAGTGACGTCACTAATGACGTCATCGGTACCCGCATCGTCATCGTCACTGATGACGTCATCAGTGACGTCAGTGATGACATCATCGGCATTGGGGGTCACGTGACCCCCAAGGTAACGTGACCCCCCCCTGGTTAGTTTAACCCCCCCCCCCAGTGCCCTTCCCTCCTCCTCCTCAAGAGCTGCGCTCTAATTCGGCGTTACAGGGAGTTGTAAGCGGCTTTCATTTTTTTTTCTTTGTTTTTTTCTTGACAAATAAAGGGAAGAAGCCACGGGTATTTATAATCTTTATGTAATGTAGTTTTTTTTTAGGTCCAAAAAGGGTTTCGAAATACGCAAATTTATTTTAAATCATGTGTAATTGTTCTCGATTCAAGTTGTTTTCCTATACAAGGCACGTAACTTTATCTGTACGACGAGATGAGCATAATTGTAATATTTATCTTATTTTAATTGCATGTCGTAAAGAGAAAGTAAAATAATAATAGCCACAGCCGTAACCACTGTTACGATAAAGGCCGAAAACGGATTCAGCAAAACAGCAATAATTTCAAGTGAAGTTCGCTGCTTATTAATTCACGTATGTCTAATATTTTATGACATGTAAACAATGCTTATATGGCATGGTTGTAGTTGTTACATTGTCGCTCAACCGGTATTTTTTCCCCCACACCTTAGTCTTCATCAAACAGGCCTAAACGAGAGGGTAAACTATTATATACAAGAAGAAGGATGCGTGCTGTTCGTCTTTTAGCGCTATGACCTTCAATGCCAAGAATAGTGCAAATGCAGCGTTTGCTAAAATCGGCAAGTATTCTTGGAGGAAGCAACACAGCTCAAAGGGCGTACCGGTCGCTCTCGAGCAAACGTAAGAGAAGTACTATAACCCCATACCCAGTGGCGAACGATCACTTTCAACTGTAAATTGTTTCGTTAATGTTTCCTGGTCTAGAGGTGCACGCAATTCCTGCCAACATAGGTATTAGAAAAAAAATTAAGAGAAGATACAACTAAACACAACCGCACAACCAGCTAGCTGGTTTATTTAAAATCAAAAAGGGTGCATAGCGATCAACGGTTGCCACCAGAAATGATTTCCAGATGTAGGTACATTGCTCCCGGACACCCGAAACCCTCTTAGCCTTTCTACGACTTTGGTGAAAGTTAATCCTCAATACACCAGTATAGGCGGTAAGAGTTGTTTATTATAATTTATCTAAGCAAAGTGTACAAAGGCAGCAGAATTGTACAAGTTCACAGAATGAAAGGCACAACTAAATTTTATCATTTCTACCGCTGTCCTGACTGTACAAGTACTCATGATATTACCTGTAAAGTTAATGACATAGGCGATAATTTCAGATATGAAATAGCAATTTTCGTTCATAAAATTTGAAATCACTGGAAAATATACGAGGAAAAGTGCATATCAATGCACATAAGAATATTACGTACAGTTGAAACGGCTGATATTTGGTAATTGAATCATATTTTTGTCGTCGATATAAAGAACATCTGAAGTATTCGCCATTAACGAAAATCACTTGCAGTTCTGGTGAGCACGACATAAACACCGGTAAACCACTGCTGACATTCCTCTTATTCCCGTCCCCGTAAGCGATCCTTCAAATGGGCAGGTTTTTGTTTAGGTTGCCAAAACGTAAACTTCTGGCATGTGGCTTTATTGACGATATATCGAAAATGAATTTTGGACGTATAAACTCCATGCTTACTCTAATCTTACACTCACTCAGTCTACCCAGTACGTTCCTGCGACGCCAAGCCAGTTGGGCCGTTCACAAGCTGACTTCTTAAGTGTAGGCTGATCTTAAATGAAAGCTGAATAGGTGCTTGAAAAAAGCGAGTAAGGGGCAAAATGCATTGTATTCTTAACCAGTGAATATGAATATCACGTTTGTTTTCTCTAATGATGTAACTGAACGCGAAAAAAAAAAGAAACCTCCGACTAGTCGTTACTTCATTAAAGGATCATTCGGCCCCAACGCGCATGTCGATCGTGTGGGAGCGCGTGCAGTTGCAAGTTTGCCAAGTATATTCTTCCGCGCTGACACCGGTCCTGATATCGTAGCCTGATGTTTATGAAAATATCAAGATTGCACGCGCATAGCTTTGACAGACGCTCAATATGTGCGAGAGCGGAGATTCCGAAAACTCCTTCTATGACATCACGCGGCGGGAACGAGGGGCTTTAGCGGTATTTAAATTGGCATTCTGCAGTCTCCGTGCACCATTCTATAAAATCCCTTATTTTCGCGGCCCCTATTTTTCGCGAATAGGTCACAGAGGACATAAATTCGGCGACTAAATTTCGCGAATTCCAGACGCTTGCACTGAAACTCTTACAGAGCGAAATTTTCGCGTGCCCTTTAATTTTGCGAATTTTTCAATTCGCAAAAATTATGGGCTCGCGATCATGAAGCGTTTTACAGTATGCGTCATCCTAAGGCCAAATGAAGATGATTTATAAGTTTTTACTCAAATACAGAACCGCTTCAGTTTCCCTTTAACTCCGGGTCAACACCATTATATTACCACGAGCGTCGCCGAGCGGGAGCGTGCGTGGCCGAATGGTTACCGCGCTTGGCTGTCGCGTGGAAGATCCGGGTTCCTTCGGCGGTAGTGCCGGTTCTTGTAGCGTCAATTTGTTTCCTCCCAGGTCCGATGACAGTGGCGTATTCGCACCGTCATATGATAACTGTGGTGTCCAAATATGCAACGCGTGCGGTTACGCCGACGCCGAAGCCGCTCAATCCGGAGACGGGCGCACAAGAGCTGCGCTCAAAAATGAATTTCTGCCAAAACAATTGCGCTTTTGGAGAAAAATAACGAACTTCACGTAAATATATATATTTTTTTTTCAAAATTCGGTTCTGCCATTGGGAGCCCTCATGAAGTCTACTTAATTAATCAATTAGGGTCAGCCAAGATTGAGCCGCCCTATTCGTTTTCTCTAAAAAGTAACCTAGGGCTCCCACCCCTTCAAACACGGGTGAAGCCATCTCGCCTTTGCCTTTTTTTATAAAATTTACTACCACTGCCCACTGCTAAAACAGCGGCCTTCTCTGACCACCCCGATAGGATATCATCCCCCCTAAATAACACTTAACATCACTCCTAATGACACACTAGCCTCACTCATGCAGCAAAGTTTTATGATCTTCTACAATCCCATTTAAATTGAATACGAGTATTACTTGTGCCGTTTTTATGTTTTATATTTTGTTACTGTTCTGTTTCTATTGTACTGGCCGATATATTGGCCCCCTGATGCCATGCCCTAACCGGAGCTTCAAGGTTGAAATAAAGAAATAAATAGAAAAATAAATAAACGTGAAATATCTATATTTTAATAATTATTGTCTCATATCCTGGTAAAACCATATTTGAACCTATATTACTAATAAAAGTATTGTCTGCTACTCTCACGATTTCATAATTTGTTCTCACACTACAGGAAAGAAATTCACCTCAAAGCTTAATTACGCACTAATAACTAAAAAACAAACATATTAAGCCTTTTTATTTCTCTAATTTGCGCGCTTTTAAGCTCCAAATCATAAGCAACGCAGGCAACAATTTTTAATTCAGGAAAATATTTCATAATTACAATTTTGTTTAACTTTATATCGCGAGCTAACTATAACTGAGGGCCATTAGCGGCAGTCTTTGCAGTGTGTTTGTAGAACGAATAACCGTAATAGTAGCCGTTGCTTCAGCGCTATCGCCCAGATGGCATCCCTGAGAAACGCTTTAGTGGGCACAATCTTTGCAATCCTAGAGGCCTAAGTTGGGCCTGATACTGTTTTGGTCCAAGGCATTAATTAGTGGCTCTGTACTTTTTTTGGCGTTTGTATGACTTTGCTTTGAATTGGGACATAATGAAAAAAGTGCCAGACTTGAGCCAAAGATGCCATGCATGAACCGAAAAACAATAGTGAAACAAAACTCTGGTTCATGTTCGGAAGGATAGGCCCAACTTTGCCACCAACCCAACAATCAGAAGTAAAGACGAAGAATAAAACTTTATTGTCTTAGTACCGTCCGTGGGGTGACGGTCCAAGCCGCTTCATCCAGCGCCGTCCTAGAAGACGGCCAGGATCCCCTGGACCACCGCGGCTTCTTCAGCTTGCCGGGTGGTCCATACCTGGTCTTGTGGGTGAGCCGAGCACTAGAGACTCCCACTGCTCGCGGTCTAGGATTTTGCGGTCAAGGGTGGTAAGTGCCGCCCGAGAGTATGCTCATATGATATGTGGCAGATCCGCCCTATTTATACACATTTTACAAGTATATTAAAATTGACCCGGGTGTAACCTGCTAGAGGCCACCCGGTTCGGCTAGATGTTGGTTTGAAGGAGGCGCCAGACCACCGCCTGCATCTTAGTGATTCAGGATGAGCCGGTCGGTACCGGGCCCGTCCCAGCCGATAATGATTCGTAATTTCTAGGTAGGTGAAGATGCGGTCTCCTCACATTCCCGGTTGGGTGGGCTCACGGGCTCGGCGTGTAATACCTCGAGCTACTTTGTGAGCCACCTCGGTGCCAGGGAGCGAGAAGTGCTCGGGTGCCCAAATGCTTTGGATCGTCCCGTGTTGCCGCTATTGGTGGTGCTCACAGTACGCACCTCAAATTTTGACAGCCTCTGACAAGATGCACCCACTTGCGAAATTTGGATTCACGTTGTTTGAGTCGCTTGTATTTATTTTAGCTTTGCTGGAGGGCACCGCTAGTGCGATGGCCGCCTCCTCCGCTGTTTCGTAGTTGTCTGTCGCCGCGGTCCCGCATATGACGGGCTCTCCGTCCGCGCCTACCGCTACGAGGGATATGCCCGTGCAATTTCTATATTCTGCGGTATCTACGTAGACCACGTCCTCGACATCTTGGTATCTTCTCGTGAAGTGGCGAGCTCCTGCCTACCATCTCCTCATAGTATTCCGGGTGCCTGTTCTTGGGCAGTGGAAGGATTTTGAGGTTCTTCCTGATGCTCTATGGTATGTCTCTCTTAGTTACGTGTTGTGATTCGTTGTGAATGTTAAGTTTACTTAGAATGTGTCGCGCGGTGGGGCTCTTTAGTAGTCTGTTATATTGTGTAATCGTGTGCGGTTCTACGTGTGCATCTAAAATGTTATGTAAGAGCTTGTTGTTGGGTGTTGTGATGGGGACGCCGATTGCTTGCTTGCCCTGTCCTTCTATTCTGTGCTTTTTATCGATCCTCTATTTTAGATATGGTGCCACGTAGGCAACACGAATAATGGTGAGAATCTGAACTCAGCAAATTAGGACGGCCTCCCTCACGCAGTAACGTCTATCGGCAATCATTTTGATCACCCGAATTGTTTGTTGTGTGCCGTGTTTTAGCGCCTTTAGTGTTTCGTTGTTTCTACCCTCCGGATAAACCAGGGGTCCTAACACCTTGATTTGTTCCACGATGAGTATCGGGCCCCCGTTAGCACTTGTGGTAATACTTGGAGCCCCTCCGTACCGTTTTCTAGTCGCAGGATACAAAAACAGGACCTCTGATTTCTGCGGCGAGCAACTGAGTCCCCTCTCAATCGCGTAGCGCTCGGCTGCCTCCGCTGCTTGCTGTAGCGTTTCCTTTATTTGGGCCTCACTGCCGCCTGTCACCCATAGGGTAACATCGTCGGCGTAGAGACTGTATAATTGAGGCCCTCATCTTACCTAGGAATTTCGGCAAGCCAATTATCGCTACTTTTGACAGAAAGGGGACACTACCAAACCCTGTGGTGTAGCCCTTCTGCCTAGTTCTATCTCTTCGGATTTGATGTCCCCTATAGTGAGTTTCGAGAAAGTCTCGGACGTAGGTGAGAAAGTCACGGGCGTAGGCTTCGCG